GTAGTTCAAAATTGTAGTACTTAATTGTTTAGTTTTGCAGTAGTTAGGAGGCTATTCTAGATCAATTAGTGTTGTACTTAATTGGTCTGTTAAGTTCATATTTTATATCAAATTGGAAGTTTGAATGTGAATTGATCAGTGTCTCTTTTGTAACTTCTAGTGTGAATTGATCAGTTTCTCTTTTATAACTTGCCCTGTGTTCTAACTTGCCCTGTGTTCTGAAATTAGTTCTGGGATCGACTACTCTTATTGACAAAAACACAAATGCATTGAGAGGTAGTGTAGTTGTTGTTCAAAAACTGAGCTAATAACACAAATGCATGGCTGGAAAATACATAACACAAAGTCATGGTTGAAAAATACATAACACAAATGCATTGAGAGGTAATAAAAAACCATTGTCTTGCATGGTTCAAAAATACATAGTCTTGCTAACACAAAGGCATGGTTCAAAAATACATTACACGAGTGTTCAAAATAAACTAAAGAGTAGCTTGTTGAAGACCCTTTTAACATGGGCCAAAATCATAACAACTTTCCAAATGAACTACTTCTAGTTTTTCCTGTTTGCTTTCATTTGTTGCAACTGTGAGGTGCTGACTGCATCTTTTCCCTTCCATTTTAGGCCACGAGGTTTAAAGCCAATGTCTATATTGGTTGGTGAAGCACTCTTCAATTTTGTTGGCCCATGTAGAATCTTCTCACTTGATGTACCAGGCTGTAATATAAGAAAGAAAATGTAAGATCATAATATAACTATCAGAATATACACCAAAACAGAGTAAACATACATTAAATACTTGGGCTCCAGTTGTAGGATTAGAGTAAACACCAAAACCAGTTGCAGGACTTCTGTTACCTCCAGTAGCAGCAGCAAATGAGGCAGAATTATACGGTCTTTTGTGACCTGATAAAAGTGGCAGTTGACTAGAAGAACTATCACTTTCAGTAACAAATGGGGTCCCTCTTGCATTAGCTTTTTTTCTTCCCAATCCTCTTCTAGTCCCAACTTGAACCCTATTTTGAGGATGTCTTGGCACAGATTCTGTGTCAGCACAAATAGAACTTGGTTGACTTGATTGTGTAGTTGCATATGTGGTTCTGAAAGTAGAATGTGATGGACCTCCCATTGTAGACTATATAGCATAAATAAGGATATATGAATAACTTGTAGATCAATCAGAAAATGTAAATGAATTATTAAATCTAATCTTACTGTTGTTTGAGTAGTTCTTGGCACAACAGTGGTATCAGCACAAACAGAACTTTGTTGACTTGATTGTGTTCTAACCTATTGAACAAAAATAAGGAGATATGAATAACTTATACAATGAAAATTAATGCAAATGAATATGTAAATCAAATCTTACTCCTGTTTGAGAATAACTTTGTTAGCTTGAATTTCCTTGACTTGTAGGTTGAGAAGTGCTCCCCCTCGTATACTATGTCACCACAAAATAAAATATATGATTATAATATATATAAACTTTAAGCAATTTACAAATGTGAATATGAAGTATTACTTACTCTTGCACACACAGCTTTGTTATGACCAGTTTTCTTGCATATGGTACATGTCATCTTTACTCCCTTTCTTAAAGCTTCTTATTGATGGATTTGTAGTTTCAGGCCACATCCTCATAGTTAGAATAGGTTGGATGAAATGGCTATAAGCCTTGAGGAATGTTTCCTTCTTATACCAGTGCTCTACATGTTGATCAGGATCTTGATTCAAGTAATAATAAGCACAAATAGCATGAGGGCAAGGAATACCTCTCAACATCCACAACCTACAGTCACAATGTTTCTTCTCCAAGTCAACAACAAATGAATATTCCCCCTCACTAATTTCAAAACCATTCAACCCATTCCATTGAACATTACAATTATTTGAATACTCCTTGTTTCTAACATTACAGTTCTTTGAATACTCCTTGTTTCTTTCTAGTATTGCCCTTGCCATAGGTGCAATGTCTGATATCCATGTTTCAGCAAATTTGATCATGTCTATATGTCTGTTCATCATTTTATGCCTAATATCCTCTAACATGGTAATAATTGATTTATGTCTAGCAGCTAAGATCCAGGAATTGAAAGTCTCACACATGTTATTTTCTACAACATCACACTTGGAGTGAGTTTGGAAAAAGGCCCTAGACCAATTTCTGGGATCATAATGTAGCAAGTCCTCTGTTATTTCCTTCTTACCTAGCTTGGACATTGCATGAACTTCTTCTCCAAACATGACTTCAAAGGAGGCCTTTGAACATCTCCAAAACTGTTTCCTTCTTTCTTCTCCTTTCCAGTTCACATGCCAGTTACTCCATATATGTCTAGCACACATCCTTTTCTCAGCATTTGGTAACAACTCTGATAAGACAGGAATAAGTCCCTAACAAAAAATATGTACAAAATAAGTAATTGAAATAGTAAAGATCAAATTAAAACTAAAATATAAGAAATTATGTAAACAATACCTTTTGCTTATCTGACATTACAGTCAAACCTTCACCAGTTCCCAAGTTTAGATCAGCAATTAAATACCTTATGAACCAGCTCCAACTATGTTTTGTTTCTGTATCCACAAGTGCCCAGGCAATGGGATACATTTGATTGTTCTCATTCTTTCCAACAGCAACTAATAACTCACCTTTACAAGCTCCCTTAAGAAAACAACCATCAAATCCAATTATATTCCTACACCCCTCCAACCATCCTTGCTTAAATGCATGAAAGCACACATAAAAATACACAAAAAGGTTCTTCCTAGTTCAGTTCCTTATCAATTTTACCCAACAAGAGCTTCCAGGATTGGTTTGTTTGATCATATCTGCATAGTCACATAATCTGGCAAATTCCACTTTCCAATCACCCATGTTTTCCTTCATAATCCTCTGTTTAGCCCTGTAACAAAGAGTCTTACCAACATAAAGACCCAATGTCTTTCTAACCAAATCTTGAATTTCCCAAATCCTTATGTATGGTTGAGATACAATTCTGTCCTTAAACTTTCTAGCAATTAACTTTGAATTACACAACTTGGTCCTGTTTAATGGAATACATTTGTGAACAGGATGATAGTTCTTTACAATGAAATCACCTGAATTCTTGTCAATGAAAGCATATAACAACCACTTACAGTTAGCATTTTTGCACTTCACCCTCACTCTATGTTTTTCATTAGGTCTTAACTTTATCTGCCTCCTGTACTCTACAACATAATTTGCCACTGCTTTCCTGAACTGATTTGCACCATCAAAGACCATTCTAAGCTCAAATATTGAAACTTCACAATCTTCATCATACCTAACTTTTTTGCTTCTCCTTCTAGTAGGTATATCTACTCCCCTAACAACATCCACATCTAGTTGTTCATCACTATCATCACTCCAATAGTCAGAGCTATCAATATAATCCTCATTTCCACCTAATTTTCCTACATATTTGTCAGTTTTATTTTTTCCAATATCCTCAAAGCCTCTATCTATACCACCAGCCTCTCCAACTGGTATTTCTTCAAAATTCAGTAGCCTTTTTTCTTTTGTTTTTTTGTTTCTTCTTTCTTGTCTAAAAGCTCTCAACTCCTCATCAATATCTGAACCATCTTCTGAAGGTATATCTAGATCTGAATCACTACTCAAGAAATCAGATTCACCTTCTCCACCTAGGTTATCATCCACACCCTCTCTACCTAGGTTATCATCCACACCCTATTCACCAATGTTAACACCAACACCCTCACCACCAAGGTTAACAGCCTCACCTTCTCCACTTAGGTCAACATCCTCACCTTCTCCACCTAAGTTAACAGCCTCACCCTCTTCACCAAGGTCAACATCAACACCTTCACCACCAACATTAGTTAGATAGCCTCTAGGTCCCTCAGTGTCAAGTAAGCGTTCATCTAATACATGACAGACAAATACTTCAAAAGTGTCCTCATGTTTTAAGTCTTTAATTAGGTGTAGGAGATGTTGGTCAGTTGTAATTAGGACCCATTTTTTATTCAATAAATCCTTCACATAAAAGCCTCCAACAGTTTCATACCCTAATTCTTTAGTATAATACAGTAGTTCCAAAATGGAAAAGTGGTCCTTAATAATATACCTGAGTGCAGACACACAGTTTCCAACATAAGTAGGGACAGATATCTCGGATAAGATTCCACCATGGTAAATCTTTGTAAATATAAGGCTCTCCTCCATGGTCAATTGTTAGCCCTACAAAATATCAAACAAACCCTAGCTTAAGATAACGGAATATACTCATATAACCCATACAACAACTAAAAAACAAAGTTTTAAAGCATATTTTCTGGGTAATAGTAAAGAAGGGACAGAATATTCGCAAAAATCACAAAACCTTTTTTTTTACAAAACCCTAGCCTTTTGGAATTCATTTAACAAAGCATGTAAAAATCATTAACAATCCTAACTTACACAAGGAAATCTTCAAGATTGTAACACGAACAAGACGAATCCAACTTCAATCTGGAGGAAATCGCAAGATGGAGAGATTCAATTTGGAAAAAATCACGAAGAGAGAGAGAGAAGTGTTCTGTCAATTTTAACGATTTAGGAATCTTCCCCAATTAAGACATTTACAAATACACGTCGGATACACGTGGTAGTTGTTAAATGGTCATTCTATACACGTCGGATACACGTGGGGAACTTAAATACATGCGCCACACAGTTTATGAAAAGTGATAAAAAAAATGCTTAGATGGTTCAAATATGGGGTGGTAAAGGTGTTCAATAGGTACTAGGTGTAGTTGAGGTGTCTAAATGAATAATGAGGACAACTTTGAGGGGCCGCAGATGACTTTGGCCTTTATTAAGGGATATGTCGAAACATAAAGAAGTAAACACATACAAAAAAATAATTTACTAATGAAAGTACAACATAATTACATATTATAATCGTACTCGACAAGAGTTTATATCTTGAATTATTTTTAAAATGGCATTATTAAAATATTACTTAATATATACCATAATTTTTTTCTTCATGAGGTATCAAATAATTAGTCAAAAGTTTATAATTCACCCGATTTCGTAGTTCATCTTAATAAATTTTATTGTCAAAAAAGCTCTTTGAACAGATTTGATGATTTTTTTTATTTTGATTGATGCAAAACTAAAGGAAACGTTTATAATATAATGCTATTATGAAGTACATGAATTAACTTAACTCGTTTTTGTTTGACCTAATGAAGGATTGATTCAAAAATTCAATTGTAAAGTCAAAAGATTATAAATTGAAGTAAAATAACGTTATAAATTCTTGTGAATTTGGATTCAAACGCATGACCTAAATCAATCTTTTGCAGCCCATCAACCGTTCTATCGACTAATCACCTTGTCTAAAGGTGTCAATTTTAATATATACACTATAAAATCAAAAATTCATTTATCTATATAACGTAATTTTTCAAAAATAAAAAATATGGGTTGATTTTTTCATGTGTTTTTTTTTTAGTTTTACAACTTGCATGGAAAAGCTAAGGTGATTTTTAGAAAGGGAAAAAGGACAAATATACCCTCGAACTATCGTAAATGGTATGCAGATACCCTCGATCATACTTTAGGGACATTGGTGCCCCTGCCGTCCAAAAACTAGAGCATATATGCCCTTCACTCTAACGGAAGACTAAATAGGGACACGTGGCGCAATCTTATCCGTCGATCCGATATTTAATAAACATCGGATCGGTGGATAAGATTATGGCACGTGTATGTCC